TTTTCATGTGTGTCTTGCCTTCTTACAGTGGTTATACCAAGGTCTGTTACCTTTTTTCTGCTGATTTTCACCATATTGGTAAGATTTTTGTCATCACACAGCAAAGGTCAAATTTTCTATCTCTTGTGGATTACATGATGTCCCTAGCATCACTTTCCTTCTATTCTCTTTCCACTGGACCTCAGAGAAAACTTCTCGGATGTTGGGTAATGGCTTGATGCTAAGAAGTCTCCCACGAACATCATCAAGGCTCTTGTTTAGACTAAGTAAAAACTTATAAACTCTGACCTTATCGACTATTTTCCTATATCGTTGGCTAACGTCAAAGCACTTCCATGCTATTTCTACAAAGATATCTAATTATTGTCAATAACAAGTTAATAAATTAAAATATCCCATGATAGAAGAGTTTCCTTGCCGCAGGTCACATAAAGTGCTTTTAATATAGAATATTACAAATGTATTGTCTACATTGGAGTAGTTTTCTTTCGCAGCATCCCAAATCTCCTTGGCAGTTTTGTAGTACATAAAATTCTCATCGATCTCATTGGTCATAGAATTGATCAACCACGACATTACCATGCTATTCTCCAACTTCTAGGTTTGGTACTTCGAGTCATCCTCGCTGGTGAAACAGCCATTCCCATGAAATAATCATCCTTACATTTTTCACAAACAAACATCACTGATTGAGACCATTGGATGAAGTTTTGTCCATTAAATTTGTGACTAATGATAGGTAAAATAAGGAACTCGAACACACCTGTGCTGCTAGTCATAGCGTAGATAGAAAGATAGAAAGAATATATATAGGTTTTGATGATTTAGGATGAACACTTTGACATCATGAAAAAATTTATGAAAATTTTATTTATGTATTCTTAAGAAACTTTCTAGAGTACAAGAGTATATATATAGTTAAAACATCAAATCTAGCAAATCTCATGATATCCTAGAGATAATAATAAATCACCTAAAAATCCTCTAACAATAAATAAAAACTACCAAGTAGGAATTTGATTAATGAACCAAATCTTTTTTATTTAAAAAATAATTAAAATGTTAAATAAATGACACCTAATCAAATTTGGTTGGAAATAGATTTTACACGCTTTTATCTTAATGTTGAAGGCAAAGTAGGTGAAGGATTTGGATCCAATGAGACCTCTATTGGATGTTTTAAGAAAGATAATAATACAATATATCAGTAAGGAAATGACAGATAGCTGTTAGGTGATAAGGGTTGATGTCTGTAGTTGGGCACTCCATATAATCGAGGAGTATCTTTTCCCTTTAATTATTTCAATTTATAAAATATGATTTGGATGATGATGAATGATGATAATATGCCATGACTGATGGATTTTGTGAGCAAAGTTTGTCATCAGAGCTGATAAAGTATTTCTCATGTGGGGACAAATCTGTGGAAAGTTGGATACTAAGCAATGGAAATTTGACAAATGTTTATGAGAAGTGTGATTTTATGTTTTCAATGATTTTCAAGTCATGTAGTCAAGAGTCGTTGGAAAAAGATTGATCTAAGTGGTAGAACAAGAACCTTCTTTCTGTCTTTTTATTTCAATTATTTTTATAAACATGAGCAAACAAAAATTTATGAATCCTATTTGCCCAGGTTTAACTTGGTGATAAAAGGACTGAATTGAGATGAAAAGTAATCTTATACATGTCAAAAATTTGAGTATCTAATGATAGTTAAATTCAAGTGATCTTCCTGTATTATCGATGCTTCCAGCACGTGATAAACAAAGAAATTATAAATACTAGATTTGAACTTTTAAATATTATTTTTTTAAAGGTAACCGTATAAGATAGTTTAGCTAAACTTTGGGTTCTATTATAAGAAATTTGTGTTAAGAACTTGATATGAAATGCCACCCTTTATTGAAGATGATTTTGAATTATTGTTACCTTCCTTGGATATTAGGAGGCTTCCTTTGATTCTGTCAACTCTAAAATCTCAAGTATAACCTGGCAGTAATCACCCAAAATCTGCTTAAACTGGAAAAAAAAATGTTACTCCTACTAGTTCCAATTCTTAAATATTGGTTATTAATCTTTTTGCATAATTCATTGAAGGATAGATTCTATCTGTTGACTTCATGCGTTGACAGAGACATCCTACATTTTATGAAAATCAATGTATCTGTTCATTCAGCAGAAGCATGTCTCAGATTCCATAATTCAGAGTACTTGTTAAAATGTTTTTTGTATCCAACCAAACATAAGTGCTCAAACCCATGATTATGTTCACTACAAGTGTTGCACTTCATCTGATGGTAATTGGGTGTTCAAATCCTTAATCTTTTTAGTCATTCATAGCATTCCTGATACCACTGCGTTCTTAGTGGAATCCATTGAGTTCTTAGTGGAATTTTCACCCACACTGACTTTGAGCTAACATTTGTTCAACATCAATAGAAAACCAAATGTCCATCAAGCAAAGGATGGTGACATGCCAACAGCCAATGGACATCAAAATGGAATAGAGGCCTGTCAGAGCCCATGTTGGTTGGAAATGGACTCTTTGCATAGAATCAATTTTGGAACATCTTGAATAACAGATTATATCTTCATTATCAAAGCATTGAAATCTAGAATTTCTAGTAGCTCTTTAATCAACAAATTTTCTCTGCAAAATCTAATTTTACTCAATTCTGGACTAACTATAATGAAAGATTTGAAAGAAAAAAAATATGGACCTGGAAATTTACTGTATCATTTTCGCGTGAATCTTCATCTAATTAATGGAGGAAAGCAGTTGTCAGATTATGGTTCATGGACCAGTGATTTATCTTCTTCCTCCTTTATGGTGTTGGTCGTGGCAACAACTTGGTTAATGCTTGGCCTAGCCTCAGGAGAGCGGTTAACACCTTTTATAGCCACCTGCAGTAAATTCAGCATCTTCTCGTCACTTGCACCTTCCGAAATTAGAGACTTGTCAAAAGCAGACATCAGCATTGTCTCTAAAGTCAAACTTTTCTTCTGATAATCATCAAATAAATGCATGTTGTCTTAGAATTTCATACAAAATTTTGCTCCAACATATCTTCTTTATTTATTTGCTGTATGCAGAAAAACTGTGTTCCTCCCATTGAAGTTGTTGCACCTGAAGTAATAATCACAACAATACAAAAGTAATAGACAATAATCAATAATAAAAAACGCAAAAAAAATAAAGCACATAAGATTTACATGAAAAACTTTCTAGTGTAGAGTAAAAAAATCACAGACCACCAAAAAAATCTTCACTATCAAATAATAGGTATACAAAGTTTTTCTCTAATTAAAACTAGAGCTAAACAACAACTAGAGAAATAATTGAAGAAATCTAACCAAATAAGTGACTCAACAAATACACCCTGGATTTGTTTCTAGAGAGCTTCAAACCTGATCTTCACCGTTCAGAATGTAGAACTCTTAATCATAAACCTCCTGACAATGTTTCAACTCAATCGGACCACGGATCGATTTTCGTTCAACCAACTCTCCTTTCTCTTTTTTTCTTTCTGTTTTTTCTAGCTTTTCTTTTTTTTTTTTACTTGGTTTTCGACACACACTTAAAACAATCCCACCTCTTTTTTATTAAGTAGCTAGGGCTCTGTGTAAAATGAAAGATCAAGGCTCATGGCCTTTACTTGATCCAAAACCACTTACATGAGGCTGAATCCCGTTTTTCTAACAGAAGTTCCCTCTCATCTCTAGAATTTGCCTTCCTGGAATTCTAGGGTATATTTATGAATTTCTGTTTCTTTCAATTCATTTGATGTACATGAACTATTATTTTCTAGCGATTGACAGCAAGAAAGAAAAAAAACCCATGGTTTGTTCATCGTTTGAAGACAGGTATTCAGGTCTAATATGCTCAAACAAAAGGCATAGAACTTGGCTCTCCAACTCTTGCTTCAGCCATCAGCAACCTCACACCAGCATTTACCATCTTACTTGCTGTCTTGTTCAGGTTAATTTCTTCCTTCTTCCCTGGTTTTTCATTTTCTGCAATTCATGTATTCCATTTTGTATCTTTAATAAAGAACAACACACTGTCTCTCCATTAATTGAAAAGTGTTAATCACCAATTCATACAGGAGAAAATTCTCATCTTTCATGTATATAATCCATTGACTAAAATGTTCCTGTTGATTGCTATGCCTTCTTTATTGAAGGAAAACATACTAAGAAAAGATCTGCTCAAGGAAGATGACCAAAATAAAGTATATAGATACAATAAACAAGAGAAAATGACAAGTGGAGGATAAAATATCCATTTTGTACTATTTATTTTATTGGCCATTAATTCCTTCAATAATCACAATTTGACAAGCATGGTTCAATCTGAATGTTGTAGTGTCAATCTAGCATTGATCTTAACAGCTGGGCTGTATCTATTTGCTTTCCTTTTGCTTGTAAGTAACACAAAAATTATCACCATTTTACCAGACAATTTGAAATTTCAGGGCTTTAATAGATTTCGTATCAATTGATTATTTTGACAAAAGAATTAATATTTGCATTACATGAATTGATAGTGATGGATATATATATATATATATATATACATATATATTTATATAAGAATCTCATAATCAAGCTAGTTAATTAAAACAATGGCACCTTGTTTGAAAATGATAGAATATTGTCCTCTATATTGTCCTCTTATTTAAGAATTGCAAAACTTAATCTCAATTATATTTCTTCTTTGGCTTAAGAAGGCCCGCAAAATTATAAAACAGATATATTATGATATCATCAAAGATTTTGCTTCACTAAGGAAGAAACAATTATTATTTGTTTCCACCAATAGTGGCATTGAATGTTCATAAGAGTAATAGATTTTTAGTTCTTCAGAATTCAAATTGAAACAGCCTCAAAAAATATATATATAAATATAAATAATTTCCTTTTACAGGTATTTTGGAGGTGGGGGATAGATGTTTTCTATATACAAACTAGTGCAATGTTAGATGCTATTACTCCATAAATCAGAGAAAGAGAGGAGATGGCAAGAAGGTATTGCTACAAAGAGGTCTTGCCATTCACAGCCATGGTTGCAGTAGAATGTGGAAACGTAGGAGTCAACATCTTGTTTAAAGCTGCAACTTCCAAGGGGATGAGCTACTATATCTTCATCACCTATTCTTATGCTATTGCGACCCTTGTTCTCCTCCCTTTGCCCTTCATCTTTTACAGGTTTTGTAGTCTTCTTTGTTTTGATTATGATCATGATCTAGTTTCCATATGTTCATGCTCTCCCAAATTCCATCTAAAATCTGTAATAATAATTATATCTTTGTTTGCTTTTGATGTATGCAGTAGAGCAGTGCTTCCACCATTGAAGTTCCATCTGATCTCGAGAATATGCCTCCTTGGCCTTATTGGGTATTGAAAGTTAAGCCATAGCTGCAATTGTTTTCTTATTCATATGTGATATACTGATGTGTTCATGTTTTTTGATGATTGAAAAACACGTAGAAGATAGTTACCATAAAAGCCAAGATTGTTTATCTTTTGGAGACAGGTTTTCAGCTCAAATATGTACATATAAAGGCATAGAATATAGCTCTCCAACTCTTGCCTCAGCGGTCGGCAACCTCTCACCAGCTTTTACCTTCATACTTGCTATCCTTTTCAGGTTTTCTTTCTTCTTTGATCTCTCAGGTGTTGATTTTTCCATGTTTGTACAGTTTCTTTTTTTCTCATTTGAGGCCGATTGAACTTGATCATTAGAACTAAGAGTCCACTATTCTACCAAAAGACTGTGTGTCTATTGAGTACAGTTTTATCTAGCATAATGGAAAATATGGAGTTCAACTTCATACAACCTTGCAATGGAAAGTATAGAAATCACAGTAATTATCAATTAAAATGCTCCTGTTGTTTTTGCGTTTTTAATTTATTCACCAAGAGCCACAGATGGACTCCACCATGTGAAGAAAATGATGTTCATAAAGAAGATTGTCAGAAAAAAGAATGGATAAAAAAAACAAAAGGAAATGATTTAGTGGGAAATTATAAAAGAAACCTTTAGTGCATGTCAATATCAAATAGAAAATTTTCAATTTTCTGAGTGCTGTGGGAGTGACCATTTACAGGATTTGATACGGTCCATGTTTAAACATCCTAAATCTTTTTCTTCTCCCTTTCTTGGATACCAAACAATAATCAAAAGGATGGAAAAAGTAGCATTGAGAAGCTCAACCACTCAAGCTAAAATCATGGGCACCATAGTGTCAATATCAGGTGCACTAGTAGTAGTTCTCTACAAGGGCCCCAAAGTTTTTTCCTCCTCGCCTTTGACATCATCATCATCATCATCATCATCTGTTTTACTTCAATGGCCTCCAGAGTCATCAGCACAATCAAACTGGGTTATCGGTGGGGTCCTAATTGCAGTTGCCTATCTTCTTTATTCATTCTGGTACATTATTCAGGTAAAAATGATATTTTCAGAAGAAGCTTGTTTCCTCTCAAATTTAACTAATTTGAAGTATTTTGCATTTTACAGACCCAAGTCATGGAGATATACCCACAAGAGTTGACTGTGGCTTTCTTTTACAACTTGTGTGCCACATTTATAGCTACACCAGTTTCCTTGATAGCAGAATCAAAGTTGAGTTCTTGGAGACTAACACAAAGCATAGCAGTTGTTACAGTCCTATACTCAGTAAGAATTTCCTGATCAACTACAATTCGAAAGCAGGCAGTAGGGCAATATCTAAATGCAAGTTTCTCTATATCTGTCTAGGGAGTATTTTCATCCTTTAGCTCTTCTGTGCACATATGGGGTCTTCACTTGAAGGGGCCTGTTTATGTTGTAATTTTCAAGCCTCTGTCAATTGCCATAGCTGCTTTTATGAGTGCCATATTCCTTGGTGATACTCTGCATCTTGGAAGGTACTAAGCTTTCTCTTCATATTTTATCTACTATCAATGAATTTGAACGACAAACCTACTGGATGCCATCTCTTAAGAATGACCGTATGAACCATTTGAGCTAAGCTTTGGGTTCGGCAAATCTTTAGTTAGTCACTGTTTTTAAATCATCGATAAGCCTGACATCTTAATTTTGCAGTGTGATAGGAGCAATTATCTTATCCATGGGATTTTATGCTGTAATATGGGGAAAAGCAAATGAAGAAGAAAGGATTGATGATGACACTGCCTTAGGTAGTTTGGGGCGCTTATCCAATGATAAAGCCCCTTTGTTGCAAAGCCATAAAGTGGAAGATATATAGCACAAAGATTATCTACAAAAATTATAGCAGGTTCAATGTTTCCTCAATCATCAAATAGAAGGTTTGGGAAGTTATATTGGAAACTGTATAGTATGTGCTTTTGGTTATCTTTTTGGTTGAAATATCAAACATAGACATAGAGTACTTGTAAGTAACAGAGAATGATCACCTTTTTATCAGACAATCAAGATTTCCGTGCTTTAACAAGTGCTGAGAATGAAGGATTGATAACCTCATTTATTTAACCAAGTAATGGCACCTATCAAAGGAAGATGATGTGGCAGGTGTTTAAACATACTTAGACGAAAGATCCTGTCTAAGACCATGCAATGTGTTAGGCTTAAATTCCAAACCCGTGACAGACAATGATGTATTGTCCTTTTGTTTGAAAAAATTTATTCATGTTAATTTTGTTAATCAATGTTCGTCCTTTCTATATTATAATTTCCCTGCGTTTAAGAAGGACCACCAAATTATATTCCACATAACAAATGCAGTCTTATACTAGTAATTATTAAGCTTCTCATATGTGTCCTAATCAGAGTCTAGTGAGTTGTAAATTTTTCATACTGTATAATGAAACATCAGAGAGACAGAAAGAGGTCACATATTTGACTTTTCCTGCAAAACCCAGTGCAGTAAACTTTGGAGTTGTCCTTTAGATGAATTCATGGTTCAAGATTAGCAGAATCTGATCCTTTGTTTTCCATTAAGTTTGGTAAAACAAATTTGGTACTACTCATATTTCATACAAGGGGACTTGTCAACTCCTTGGAAAAGTGTGGTAAGATTTTTATATACAATCTATCCACTTAAAATTCAAAACCTCCATGTTACCTTGGTTATTTTTTGCTGAATATTACTTTGATTCCTTCACTAATGAAACAAAGTAGTTAACTAGCTTGACTAGGGGAAAAAACAGATGATGAACTCATCTCCATCAATTGAAATTTGAAACTTTACCATGTAAGACTTTTGCATTAAGATGGATAATATCTCAATTATATGTGAGTCTCCACATTACCTTTGTCATTGCCATCACTTTCAGGTTTCTTCCTTCTTGTTGCTTCAAGTTTTCCATGGGGGAAATTATCTTAATCCATAGTCCAATGGTTTAAGAATATATATGTCTATGATTTATTTGCTTATCTATGTCTGCCTTAATCTGTGAACTTGTTTCATATTTGGAGGAAAACAAACTAAAGATAAATATTTATTTCACATTAATTATCAGATTCATGAAAGAACAAACTGATGTGATATCTAAACTATAAAACTATTAACAAAGCATGCATATGCAAAGAAGGGCACATGACAAACTCTAGCTTTGGAGGACAACAAAAGATTATCAAACTAGAGCTTGGATATAAATATAAATAAACGTTTAAAAATAATGAGTTAAAGGACGAAGGAAGGAGAAGCAAGCAACTGCTCCTTTCGCATTTTTGACTTTGTGGTTCGTGCAGGTGTCTTATTCAAAGGGAGTGTGGATGACACGTTCCCAGTCTAGAAGGGAAAAAAATGGATGTATTGACTCTGAATATGAAGGGCAAAGTGTCCCTTTAAACAAAGTTTAGGGTTGCTTTGGATGCTTTTTCTTTGCGTTTGCGATCCGGTACCTGACAGCTGCCCCCGTTGGATTGCACATTCTCTTTATCTGAAGACTATATAATCTTAGGTTGAGGTCAATAAATTCGATTTTATGGAAAGAGCATTGACGAGTTGAAATAAAAAAAAAAAAAATTGTACCTAATCGATAGTATTCAAGTTCGATCTCAATCGTAATTTGAAATATAAAAAATTGATATATAAAATGTATTTTTAAAAATTATTCAAGATTAGTTTAGATTTATATAAAGCTTAAAAATACCTTAAATCATATACTATAGTTGTCTTCATCATTGAAATATCAATATTTTGTCTTTTAAGTATAAACTTAGCAACTGCCTTTTCTTTATTACCTTTCTAACTAACCACCACTAATTCTTATTAGGCAGGAAATGGCTAAAAAAAAGCAAGTGATGGTAACTAAATCATGGACTAGTGAGTAAATGTTACTACATTATATGTGATGGCGAACACCAGTTGTCCATCATATTCTTATGATCATATTCTATTTGAAATTATTTCATTCAAAATTTTATTAATTAATACAAAAAAGTAAAACAAATAATTCGTGAAATATCATAAAAAATTATTCATCAATGAAATTAAAAAGGCAATTGTGTATAATCTTAGATACGATTTTGGAATGTATAATCATTATATTCATATGATCTCATCTGATTTGAAATTAATTCATTCAATTTTTTATATATTAATATACAAAAATAAAGCAAAGACATGTTTGCTTACGGATGCAAATCAACATCAACTTTTAAGAAATTGTATTTGGTAGTGCAAAGTCACTCTAATGTGTGCCATAAAATATATGCAATCATAGAGGTTTAAATAAGAGATGGCATAGAGGATAAGCACAATATCATAATCTTTCTTTGGACATTATGACATTAAATATTTTTATTAGGTATGATAATGTCAGATGATGAAAAATGAGCCAAAATTATTTGATGAAGGAAAAGATACTTTTCACACCATAAACCCAATTATTATTCCTATTACAATCAATAATATATATATATATATAACACCAACAATAACACCATTATATATAATCATTTTAATTCGATCTAATAATTAAAAACGACACGATATAATATGCAAATATGATATGAAGATGACACAATTTAAAATTTTAATAATAATTATATATGAGTTTAACAAAATAAAAAAGTATATATTTTATATTTTTATATAAACATGAATTATGATATGTAATTTTTGTATAAAATATAATATAAATACATTAATTTAAATATTTTACATAATTTGAATATACGAATCGTCATATCTAATTCTAACCACAAAAATTAACTTGTTGATTAAAATAAAGTTTAATTTTTTATTAATCAAGATTTGGTTCTTGTAACAAATACTTACAAAATTAAAAGTTTTAATGCATTAGATTGATATAATGAAAAAAAAAAAAAAAACCTTAATCACAATAAAAAATGCCCCTCCAACAATGCAATAACAACAAAAAAAAAAAAAAGATTTATCTCCACTCTTTTCTTTTGTTTGTCTATCACACTCAAACTCGAAGATATAAAACTTAACAACCCCTCATACTCATAAGATGAATCTCACAAGCATGTAAGGCAACAAATATCAAATTAAATCAAAATCTCCAATAATCTCCAAAATAATATTTTACAAAATCTTGAGTCTACAAAATTATATCCTTTACAAGTTGGTCGAATATACTAAAATTTTTACTAGCAAATCTTTTAGAATCAAT